ATAGAGAGAATACACAGAGTCACTGTACCAAAAAGAAATGGTGTATGTTTAACCATTTTAAGAGGTAGCCTATGATCAAGAGCCAATGATTCTGAAGAAAGAAGTCCAAGGTGCATTGAAGGAATTGGCAAAGAACAAGGCACAAGGAATTGATGGAATCAAAATTGAAATCTTTCAACAAACTGATGTAGGTCTAGAGACACTCACTCATCTAAGGCAAGAAATTTGGAAGACAACTAGCTGGCTAACAAAATGGAAAAGATTCATATTTGTGCCCATTCCAAAGACCGATCACCCAACAGTATGCGGAAATCATCGGACAACATCTTTGATATTCCAAGAGAGTAAAATCTTGCTAAAGATAATATAAAAATGGTTGCAACCATGCATTGACAGAGAACTATCAGAGGTTCAAGCCAGATTCAGAAGAGGAAGTGGAACCAGGGATCTAATTGCTGATGTCAGATGGATCTTGGCTGAAAGCAGAGAATACCAGAAAGATGCTTACCTGTGCTTTAGTGACTACATAAAGTCTTTTGTTTGTGTGGATCATGACAAGCTTATGGACAACATTTCAGAGAATGAGTATTCCTGAACACTTAATTGTGCTCATGAGGAATCTAAACATAGACCAAGAGGCAGTTGTTCGAACAGAACAAGGGAACACCAAATGGTTTAAAATTAGGAAAGGTGTGCGACAGGGTTGTATTCTTTCACCACACTTATTCAAACTGTATGCTGAACACATAATCTGAAAAGCTGAATTATTGAAGATAAACGTGACATCAGGATTGGAAGAAGATTTATTAACAACCTGGGTGATACAATTTTGCTTGTTGAAAGCCACGAGGACTTAAAATATTTACTGATGAAGATCAAAGACCACAGTCTTAAGTATGGATTGCACCTCAATGTAAAGACAACAAAAATCCTCACCACGATATCAATAAACAACATCCATATAAAACGAGAAAAGATTAAAGTTGTCAAAGACTTCATTTTTCAGGGATTAACCATCAACACTCATGGAAGCAACAGGCAAGAAATCAAATGACGTATTGCATTTGGCAAATCGGCTGCACAAGACCTCTTTAAAGTTTAGTTCAAGAGTAAAGATGTCAGCTTGAGGACTAAGGTGTGCCTGATCCAAACCATGATGCTTTCAATAACTTTATATTCGTGTGAAAGTTGGACAACGAATAAGGAAGACCATAGAAGAATTGATGCATTTGAGTTATGGCACTGGAGGAGAATATTAAAAGTACTATGGACTGCCACAAGAACAAACCAATCTGTGTTGGAAGAATTACAGTCAGAATGCTCCTTGTAAGCCAGGATGGCCAGACTTCGTCTCTCATACTTCAGCCATATTATCAGGAGGGACTGATCCCTGGAGAAGTAGATCATATTTGGTAAAGTGGAGGGTTGGAGAAAAAGAGGAAGACACCCAGCGAAATAGATCAGCACAGTGGCAACAGCAATGAGCTCAGGCGTAGCAACAATTGTGATGTTGACCTAGGACCAAGTAGTGTTTCGTTCTGTTGTGCATAAGGTCCCTATGAGTTAGTGCCAACAAGATGGCACCTAACAACAACTCATTCATTTGGTTGTTGTTGTTGTTAAGTACCGTTGAGTTGATTTCAACCCATAGCAACCCTGGATAGGGTTTTCAAAGAGCAGCTAGTGATCTTGAACCACTGACTTTGCAGTTCAAACAACATTGCAGTCTGATGCATTAGCCCACAGCGCGACACCAGGCTCCATTCATTCGATGGGAGTTACAAAAACGATAGCTAGAAAAGCCGTATCAAGTAATCCACTGAACTACAGCATGTAATAAATTAGAGATGTTGAAAGTATAAACAAGTCATTATTTCTGCCCTGGAAAAGGTAATGAATAGTTAAGTTAATGTTTAATTACAATAGAAAACTCACAATATCAGTAGCTTAAACAAGATGAAGTTTCTTTCTTTTAAGAAATCTAAGGGCTGTCCGTTTAACTTACTGCATAGTTTCTGGGACCCCCAGCTCTTTCTACCTTGTTGGTCCGTCAAACATAACTTACATTCCTCAAATCATTTAATGGTTTAGGATGGCTATTGGAGCTCCTGTCATTATGACTGAATGCCAGCCAGCAGGAAGAAGGAAGGAGCAAACACAGAACTATATCTTCTCTTTTATGATAAGTTCTAGAAGTTGCAAACACTGACTTCTGATTTCATGCCTCAGGCACACAGCCACACACAGCTACAAAAGAAACTAGAGAATGTAGACTTTATTACAGGTGACCATTAGGACTTCATTTGCAATGAAAGAGAGAAAAATGTTTACTTGGGAGGCAACTATGTTTTAGTAAGAGCTGGCTTCCGGATTAGGAAATAAAATACATGCAAACAACTCAAGAACAATTCAGAAACAATTCAATTATGCAATGCAAATATTTATTGAGTGTTGTTATTGTTAAGTGCCATTGAGTTGGTTCCAACTCATAGGAGCAGCTGGTGAGTTTGAACTGCCGACCTTGTGGTTCAAACCAACCTTGAGGTCCAGCGCTTTATCCCACAACATAAAGTCAAATCAGTTCTGACTCATAGCAATTCTGTACACGGTTTCCAAGGAGCGGCTGGTGGGTTTGAACCACTAACATTGGAGTTAGTAGTTCAGTGCTGATCCTACAATGTCACATGAGGACTCCTATCTGAGTGTAGCATGGTGCAAGATGTGAAGTTAGAGTATGGTAGAGAACACAGAAGAACTTTCTACATGCGTTAGCAATACAACTGTGTGATTACTTTGTGAGGGACATTTCTCCTTGCCAGAAACCTGTGGCAATTGTTAGTAGTTGCCAGTCAGAAAACTACTGCCCCAGAGAAGTCCCTGGGCCAAGTGAAATTTGATATGAGAGAACAGTTACTGTTATCCCCTGTGTGGTTTGTCTCTCTGCTCATCCAAATAGGATATAAAGTATTCCGGTTGTAAGGGGCCTAAGATATCATTCCACCCAACGGGTTTCTTAGGAACCCTGGTTGTTGTTGTTGTTAAGTGCCATCGAGTCGGTTCTGACCCATAGCGACCCTGTATAGGGTTTCCAAGGGTGTAAATCTTTACGGGAGTAGAAAGCCTCATCTTTTTCCTGCAGAGCGGCTGATAGTTTCGAACCGCTGACCTTAAGGTTCTCAGCCTGATTCGTAACCACTACGCTACCAGAGCTCCTTAGGAACCCTGGTAGCGTAGTGGATTATGAGCTGGTTTGCCAACCACAAGGTCAGTATTTCTAATGTAACAGTCACTCCACAAGAGAAAGTGAGGCTTTCTGCTCCCACAAAGCCTCAGAAACACTATGAGTTGGAACTGACTCCACAGCACACAATCACCACCACCACCACCAATGTGTCTATATTGTAGATGAAGTAACTGAGGCCCAGAGGGATGCAATGATTTGACCACTGCCAGAGTTAGTTTGCGGCAGAACCCAAGTTTTCTGATACCCAGCTCAGTATTTACTGTTTTCATCATAGCCTCTCTCAGCCCATTCATTCTGGGGCACTCATTCCCAGTGTGCCCTTGTCAATGTCATCAATGACCTCCATACTGCCAAATCTCTCAGACATGTCAGTCCTCATCTTACTCTTCACAGATGTGCACAAAAGCGGTGGCCACTCTCCACCTTGAAACATTTTGCCATTGCCTCTGTTGATGCCATGCTCTCCTGGTTTTCCTCTTACCTTGTCAGCCACTCCTTTCTAGTCTTTTGAGCTGGTGCCTTGGCCTCAGTTCAAACAGCTTGACTCTTGACCTATTGTTCTTTCTCCTCTCTCAGACGTTTTAACGATTGTCTTGTTCTTTGGTTTAAATACCATTTACATGCTAGTGTTTAAAGTGCTTGGCTGATGAGATAGTCTGTTCCCGTAAAGATCTGCAGCCTTACAAATGCTATAGGACAGATCTACTGTGCACTATGGGGTCGCTATGTGTCGGAATCAACTCAACAGTAGTGAGTTTCACTCCTTATGCTTCAGACTGTTCTTTTTGATTCTAAATACATCAGTTTCATTCCTGTGTTGCATTTGCTATTACTCCTACTTGTAATATTTTCCCTTCTGAACTTTTCAGAACTAGCTCCTTCCTAGCTGCTTCTGCTCAAATGCCCAGTCTTTACTGCACCACCAAATCTAGCATTCTTCCACAGGTACATCACTCTGCTTTATCGGGCCTCACAACACTTACTGCTTCCTCAAACGATCTTATTTTTCAGCGACCCTTCACCACAGCTTGAACGTGAACTCCATTGTCATGTTCTCAGGAGTTATTCTATCCTCTCTGCATCTCCACATATGGCACATGTCTAGAACATACTAAGACTTTACATAATATTTCTAGAATGAATAAACAAACTCATGACATTATATTAAGACACTGGTAAACCGCCACAAGTCTGATCTTTGGGAAACGAGGCCAGCTCAGTCAGCCAACATGGATGGTTGTCTTGGTAAGAACTTCAATCCTTGTCAATGTAAGACAATCTTTGTCTTCAAAGGTTTGTCCATTTTATGATATAAATTGATTCCCAAGGCACAGATCAGTCATCCCATGTTTGAAAAACAAAAATTCTGAACTACAGAAAGTTTAAGTGACTCGTTTAAATCCAAACAATAAGCATGAGTCAGGAAATAGGAGACAGGGCACATGAAATTTTTCCTTATTTGCTAAAGGGCTTAATCATTTCTCTGAAAATCTTTTTCGTTAGTTGGAAGAGGCATACTTTCCTTCGACCCACAATACAGGAGGCAGATATGAATCAAAACTTGAGTGAGCGTTGATTCTAAAGTAAAAACTCAGGCAACAGTTGGTTGCAGTGGTAGATAGTGGGTCTTTGCCGGGACCCCAGGACAAGCCATCGCATAAACTTCCTTCCCGCAGAGTCCTGCGCTGCACTGGGCACCTCTTTGAATCCCTAGGTTTCAGCCCACTCTGCCACCAACTAACTTTGTCCTCAGGACTCACAGAGCTGTGTCCCACCTCCGCCTTCTCCTCTTGGGGACCCTCGTGCTTTGCAATCCCTGACTGGCATCTCCAGGGCAGAGCCGCTGCGCCCCTCAGATTTTCCTTAAGCCCCTGCGCCGCTCCCAGCAGCAGTTCCTTGGCAGCGGCCCAGCGCCCTGGAGCGCGCCTGCCCGGCCCTACGTCCACCCTTGCGGCCCAAGTGCCTGACCAGAACCCCAAACTCAGAGCGCGAGATGGACGTGAGCCCAGCGTGAGGGCGGTTTCACTGGACAATTTGCCCCAGGTTCTCCACCCTGCCCCTGGTCTGTCCAGTCTGGAAAAAAACCCGCCTTCAGGTGTATTGTGCGCCAGGTTATGGTTTGGTTTCACCTGAAACTTCCTGAGAAATCTACAATCCCTTAGTAAACTCCACCGATTCTTCACACAATTTTGAGAACCAAGAGTTCGGGTTTGTAATCATTATTCTTGGAATTTCAATATGAAATCATTTCTAAATGGGCTTCCAGAATTCTCTTTGGAATAAAATCAAACTCTCTTAATCATAATTTCTAATTTGATATTTATCAGTCAAAATATTTCCTGGTGGATTCTTTTCAAAAATGAAATGATAGAGAAACAAGTCAGATTCTGGCTCCAAAATATAAACTTCAAATATGAAAATCTATCTGCTGTTCATTTTATATTCTTGTGATTTATATATTTCTTTTTCTATTTTCCAGGCCCTCCTTCATCCATACCATGGCTAATCTTTTGTTTTGATCACTGTGCCTGGTCTGGGTAATTCATATTAGTGGGATCATTTAAAATTTGACAGGCTGTTCTGGCTTATTTCACATGACATAATGTTTTCAGGGTTCATGGTTCATCCATGAGGTGACATATTCAGAACATTACTTTCTCTTTATAACTGAATAATTCTCCATTGTAAATATTTACCACATTTTGTTTATCCATGAAATGTGCTTCCTTGTAATAAAAGCTATGAAACGTCAAAGCTTCTTTCAAACACGTCTGTTCATCTTTTCTAATTATCAAGCACACAATTTGAAACATTAAATTTAAAACAATATTTTCTTAGGTTATCCATTTTAAAAAATGAATGGTAAAATGTTAGTTATTACAGATTACAAAATAGAACATGCAACTTTCCTTTAAAAAGAGTTCCATTGGACTTAATGTTCATAACAGCTGATTAGTTCTGGTGGTCGCTGTGTTGTTATGTGCAGTTGAGTCAGTTCTGACCCATAACAACCCTGTATAAGGTTTCCCAATAGCAGCTGGTGTGCTTGAACTGCCGATCTTGTGGTTCAAACCGACTTTGCAGTTCAATGCATTAACCCATAGCACTATACCAGGATTAGTTCTTAGCCACAGATCCATTTTAAGTATGACAATGCATACGAAAAAGATTCAAAAATCTTGTGGGAAATGGAATGAAAAGGTAAAAGCGTTTTTCCATAGAACATATGGTCCTTCATGTTCTGACTCTATCCATCTCTGATCTTTGTTGTTGTTAGGTACCATCGAGTCAGTATCGACTCCTAGCGACCCTATGTACAACAGAACGAAACACTGCCCAATCCTGAGCCAACCTCACAATTGTTGCCACGCTTGATCCCATTGATGCTGCCACTTTGCCAATCCATCTCGCTGGGAATCTTCCTCTTTTTCTCTGACCCTCCACCTAATCAAACATGATATCCTTCTCCAGTGATATGTCTAAAGTATGAGAGATGAAGTTTGGTCATCCTGGCCTCCAAGGAACACTCTGGCTGCACTTCTTCCAACACAGATCTGTTGATTCTTTTGGCAGCCCGTGCACTTTCAATATTCTCCTCCAACACATAACTCAAAAGCATTAAATCTTCTCTGAGTTTTGTTGTTGTCAAGTGCTGTCAAGTCGATTCTGAACCATAGCAACTCTGTATAGGGTTTCCGAGGTTGTAAATCTTTACAGGAGCAGCTGGTAGTTTCTCCTTCGGAACAGCTGGTAGTTTCAGACTGCTGACCTTGTGGTTCACAACCTGATTCGGAACCAGTTAGGCACTACAATTCTCCACTATTCTTGGTCCTCCAGTGTTTGCTGTTCCAGAGTCATTAAGCTTTCATTTTCTTCTGCCTAGAATGCTATCTCCACCTTCTGATTTTTTAAAATAGTTTAATCTTTCATATTATTAAGGTCTCATCTCAAATATCACTTTAATCGAGAGAGCTTCTCTGATCCCATGAAAACAGTCCTCCCCTACCTTCAACTCTTTATTCCTGTCAGTTGTTACCTTTTTCCTTTGTAGCACTTGTCACTGAAATGACAGACAGTGTTTATTTAGTGTCTCTCTCCCACACCAGAAAGTCAGCTTCATGAAGATGAGGATTTCTCTAAGTGTTGTTCCTTGCTGTAGTTCTAGTGCCTGGAACAGTATGCCGAGTTGTTAACTGCCTCTGTAGAGTTGGCTATGATTCAAGGCAACTTTATATTTAACAATGAAATGTTGCCTGGTCCTTTGTCATCCTGGTGGATCCTTGTGTGAGTTCATTACTATGCTTATTGTGTCGATTCATTATCTCAGTGAGAGTTTCCCTCATTTTCATTGATCCCAGACTTCTTACCAAACACGATGTTTTTAGCTAGCCATTGATCATTCCAAAGAGGCTTTGCTGCCTCTTATTCCATGGAGGGTTTCTTTTTTCTTCTTGCTCTGAAAGTATAACCTGGATAGCTCATTTTTATGCAGGTGTCTGATTATATCTTCTTGTTTTTGTTAATTTCCATTGAGTTGATTCCAACTTATGGTGTCCGCATATATGCAAAGAACTGTGCTCTAAGAGGGTTTTCAAGGGTGTGATCTTTGGAAAGCAGATCACCAGGGCCTGGCTTCTTAGGTGCTACTGAGTAGGTTCCAACTGCTAACCTTTCCACTCGTGTTGTTGTTGTTGTGAAGTGCTGTCAAGTCAGTTCCGACTCATAGTGACCCTGTAAAGAGTTTCCAAGGAGTGGCTGGTGAGCTTGAATAACCAACCTTGTAGTTCAAACCGACCTTGCAGTCCAGTGCATTATTCCACAGTGCCACACCAGGACTCCACTAGTAGTCCAGTGCTACCATATGAGTTACCAAGGGACTATATTAATTCCTTGTTTTCGGTGTTAAGTGCTGTTGAGTCAGTTCCAACTCATAGCAACCCTGTATAGGGTTTCCAAGGAGTAGCTAATGAGTTTGAACTACCAACTTGGCTGTTCAAGCCAACCTTGCTGTGAGTGTTTATCCTACAATGCCACCTTTCATTGCATATAAAATAATCAAAGAAATACAGTAGTTTCTTCTGGTCATGTGCGCACTCAAATTCTAATAATGTGGAAGAATGGGGGATTATTGAAGGATAATCAAAATCGCTTCCCTGAAACCCTAGCACCTAAGCAATGTGTTGGATGAATGAATTTTAAAGAAAAAAAAAAGGCTTGGTATATCTCACACCAGTGGGTGGTTTTAGATGTTAAATGCAAAGTTAAGTATACTCTGTTGTTAAGTGCCATTGAGTCAAGTCAGATTCATAGTAAACCTGTATCATTTCTGAGGAGCAGCTGGTGAGTTAGAACTGCTGGCCTTACGGTTCAAACCAACTTTCTGGCTGAGTGCTTATCCTACAACACCACACCTGGACTCCTAGGAGTGAAAAAACTTTTGACCCTTCATAAAACAGAACTTGATTTGGCCCCATAATGGGGTCATC